TGTATGGTACATCTATTTATTATTTATTTTTTTCTTTCTTTCTTTATTTCCGTGGAATACATAATGCCATCCTTTATTTGATGGCTTGTGTTCGCCATGATTGGTGCACGATCGGCATTTTCCATTCGTCTTCTTTCCCTCGTTATTTATCATTCGTGGCCACCTTCGATGTCCTTTTCTCGAAGGTATGCACGCGTGCTCTTTTACTGTCAGTGGGGAAAAGAGACAGAAACAATGAGAAAAATATCCAGACGGACGGACGGACATAAAGATAAAAAGATGGTGGGGGACAGAGAAAGAAAAAAAAGAGAGAGAAATATAGTGGGGGGTGCGTGTAAGAGAAAGAAAATAATAGAGTATCTGAGAGAGAAAAACTAAAAGAATGTATGAGAAAGAGAAAGAGATAGAATATAAGACAGAATTAAAGACAGAAAGAGAGAGATAGTAAAATAAAAATGTATACGAGAGAGAGAGAATAAAACTGAATTAGAGAGAGACAAAGAAAGAGAGTATGTGTCAGAGAGAGAAAGAGAGAGAATAAAATAGAATTAGAGAGAGAAAAATTGAAAGAATGTACGAGAGAAAGAGAGAGAAAGAAAGAGGAAACATAAGAGAGAAAGATTAAAAGATTAAGAGTATGTGAGAAAGAGAGAGAGAGAGAGAGAGAGAGAGAGAGAGAGAGAGAGAGAGAGAAATAGCAAATGTCGGCAAGTTGCCATGTACGGTGAAAAGTGGTGGTGGTCGGTGTTGTAGTTTTGAATTCGTCCGAGATTCTTTCGTTCGTTCGTTCTTTCGTATCAAGGTCTTGCTTGGACCGGCTTCGCCACTGGCACCGACTACGACGTTACATGGGAGAGTTCCCACGTGCCTTTTGCACAACCTCTTTTCTCCTCCTCCTCCTCCTCCTCTTCCCTCTTCCCTCTTTTTCTTCTTCTTCTTCTTCTTCTGTTTCTCCTCCTCCTCCTCCTACCCGTCGTTGCAAAGGTACGAAGGGTGGTGCACCTTTCTTTTTATTTTCATTCGTTTATTTCTTTTTCTTTCTTTGGCCACCATCGATGTTTAGCACCGTTCGAACTTGTTCTCTTGTTGCGTGTCCTCAAATTCGACGAGGAATAAAATGAAAATTTGGTGGGCGGGGAAGGGAGTGGCCAGGACGGGCAATGATGGAGGTATAGAAAATATTATCCACATATTTGTTTTTTTTATTTATATATATATATATATATATATATTAAATTATACGTGTGAAGTGTAGTATTGTTATACGTTGATTAACAATAATTAATTTAAAAATAAGGGAAATAAATAAATTGTAATTTAATTTTAAATCTCTGTAACATTATTTATATTATTATTATTATTATTATTATTAAATTCAAGTAAATTATTGAACAGAAATTGCAAAGTTGTATTAACGATCAGATAATCTTGGAAGATAATAAGACGTAAAAGTAATAATGTTGTAATTCGGTAGCAACGATAATAACCACGTTACGACCAAAGTTTTAAATCGGTGTTATTCAGAAAGAACAAAGTATAGGGCAAAAGGATTGAGTAGGAAAAGTAGGGGAGAATTCGAATCTATTACATGGTTTCTTTTTTTCTCTCTCTCTCTCTCTCTCTCTCTCTCTCTCTCTCTCTTCTTAGAATTAAGAAACTGAATCTAGAATGTGGGGGATATATAAATAATCGAGCTAACGCAAAAGTTTTCTATTCTTATTCTTTTTCTCGTAGTATTATCGATTTTACACGTTAATCGCAATTTTATTCTTCTTCTTTTTCTTCTTCGAAATCAATTTTATTCCGAATTTTCGCGAACAACAAATGTTATCTTCTTCTTCTCTAATCGTTTTATTATATATTTTTTTATTTTTTTTTTATTTTTATTTTCGCGTCGATCACATTCTACTTCTCTCTCTCTTTCCCCCCCCCCCCTCATTTCTTTCTTCCAACGTTAATTCTATTCCGAATTTCGGCGACAATCAAATTTTATTTCTTACTCATTTTCCGTTATTTTTTTTTTATTTTCTCTTTTTTTTTATTCTTCTCAATCGTAATATTTCTACTACTAGTTACTTCTATTTCTATTTCTATTTCTACTGCTTTTTCTTCTTTTCTTTTTTTTTTCTTTCAGATTAAGTTTCTATTCTAATTTTCCATAACAACGAAATTTTATTTCCAATTCCTTTTTTATTTTATTTTTCTTTTCTTTTTTCTTTTTTTTTTTTTATTTCTTTATTTCTTCATTTAATTTTGCTCCTTTGATTTTCTCCTTCCTTCTCGTTTACTTCGGGGGACTGAAATTACGGTAAAAGTGTGGGGTATATATATTTCGAAGTAGAATATCAAAGTACTCGCTCTTTTTTGATGAGACTCGTTAAACGAAACGACTTTATTCTTGGAAGTTAAGAGAAAGAGAGAGACGAAGGGGGAGGTAAATGCTGGAGGGGGTTTTTGAGGATAGAATTGGTAGGCGGTGGTAGGTGATGGTAAGCTGGTGGAAAGGTAGGAATAGTGGGGATAAAGAAATCAGCTCACAGGATGACTCGGGAAATTTGACTGAAAGTAAGACTGGCAACGAAAGAAAAAATCCAAAAGAGAAAGAGAGAGAGAAGAAAAGGTAACCGTTCCCTTCTCTCTTTTCTCTTCCCACACGGTGGCGCTAAAATAAAATGACCGTAGGTAGGAATGCAGGGTCTGCCCATTGCAAATGGACCTAACATAAGAAAGAAAGATAAACATATACATATACATATACATATATATACACATTTATATAAATGTCGTATATAATACACGCACACACGTTACGTCTATTATTTATAATATATACACTTATATATATAATATACACTTATATATACGTCATATATAATATAGACGCTCCCATATATAATACACGCCCACGTATACACCATATATAATATACACACACGCATATATAATACAAACTCAAATATATATCAAAAGTAATATACACATTTATCTATATAATCCACACTTATATATACGTCACACATATAACACCACACACACACACACATAGCATCAACATATTATGTACACGCACATATACATGTTAACGTTATGCAGGCAGACAGAGTTTAGAAAAGGATAGCATTTCGAAGGACTGGAATGAACAAAGATGGTGAATACAGCTTTCATCCTATCTCTCTCTCTCTCTCTCTCTTTCTCTCTTTCTCTCTCTGTCTACCCTCTTAGAGGTATTTCGAGCCGGTAGAATCGATCGAGAGTGAGTAAGAAAGACAGTAAGTCTATGAGTGAGTGTGAGAAAGAAGAAGAGGGTAACGCCACTCAGTCTCTTCCTTACTCTCGCAATTTGTTCTTAGTCATCATCCGAAGGTTATGGTACCGGTCTTTTCCCTTCTTACGTTAGTTTACACAGAAACTATCGGAAGAGTACATCGTTCCTCTTTTTTTACCCTTCCCTTACCTTACCTTTCATTTTCTTTCCTTCTCTTTCGTTTACGAGTTAATATTTACTTTCCTTTTCACATTATAATACATACTTAGATAAGTGCAACGACCCTGTCGCATAATCCATCATCGACGTATTATACCCATGTTCCTTGATTTTCTATATCACACTCATACATAGACACATATATATATTGCTTTAGAGATTGACAAAATTCTGATTCTAAGAAACGTGATATATCACTCTTATCTTTTACAGAAAAAAAATATCTGCTAGGTATACATTGTTTTAGAGATTGACAAAATTCTGATATTAAGAAACATGATATCGCTTTTATCTATTATGAACATAAATTAATAATAATAAAAATGATAATAATAATTTAATATATATGGTGAGTCACATCAACTCGTAACTGTAAATTTGTAATAATTGATATTGGCTTATAATGCATAAATTCAAAATTTAAATGCACAGAAATCTTATTATAGAATTATTAAATTTTCAAATTGATATATAAGTTTTAATGCAAAATAATATTTTATTGTTATAGGAATATAACAATAGAAAAATTGTAACTCAACAAATCTTTCTCTTTTTCTTTTTTTCTTTTCCTTTTTTTTAATTTTACTAAAATGAGATAAAAAATTGTTCTCACAAGAGTATTTTCGTATCTATGTAAGGTATAATAAAAATACGGTTATTATATTTGTCGGAAGTACTTGGTTGATTCTTCTTTGCATTTTTTAATCCTTTGAGAGGATTGGATCGATTCTGTTCAGGCCAATTTTATTATCATTTATATAAAAGTCAACTTTTCATAACGTAAAATATTCTTTTGCAATAAAATGATATCAATAGAAAATTCAAATATAATATTTATTAGATGTTTCCGCGTATAAATACCTTTTGAAATATCATATAACGAGAAAATATTTAGATTATTTCTTTTCGAATAAAATTGATATTAATTGAAAATTTGAATAATGTTAAAATATGTTTCCGCATATATATGAAACCTTTTGAAATGTCATATAACGAGAAAATATAGATTAGTTATTCTTTTTGTTTTTAAATCTATAATAATAATAATAATAATAATAATAATACAAACATATTCCTATTACTCTGATTGCATAATACTTTAGATTATTTCTTTCACCTCTCGTTTACTCTCCTGTTAACGTATAAACAACGAAAGTAAAAAATAATTTCATTGAAAAAAAAAACAAAAAAAAAGTGGCGTGTATCTTGTATTATTTAATGAATTAGTTGTTTACCACGCGTCGAAAATTAAAATTATTAATAAATGTGTCGCAGGGGAGAAGTTGAGCAGTGTAAGAAATTTAGAACTTTTCTATTTCGATCTTATCAAACGTTTTGTCCCTTCATCGGAACTTTTTCAGCAACTCGATCGTTAAAGTTCAGAATCTCTTATAATATTATTACAAAAAGACATACATTGTTAGATATTTTTGAAAATAATAATAAAACTGTACTTAGAGTATCTATAAAAAAAAAGGAAAAAAATTGTATTTATAAATAATTTAATTGTTTACAGAAACGGTAACGACATTGGCAAAACAATCGGAGTTGAAGACGATGACTCTCTTCGATCAAGTTTATAAATCTATGGCAGTTAAAAGTAAACCATCGATTAGAGCACTTTATCAAGCAATGATAGACTACGTGTCACCTAATAACACCCCGGACAGTTTACAACAGCCGTTGACTCGTGAGCTTCTTCACGAAAGATTCCTCGAATTTTTTACACAATTGTTCCCGGTCGCTTATCATCACGCCGTGAATCCCGGTAAAGATGATTTCTCCGATAAATTCAAGTCTTGCTTGAACGAAACCATGGATGAGATCCAACCGTTCGGTGACGTACCAAAACAAATCTCCCGAGTTGTTGGTAAAAGTCTTGAAGCTACGAGAGTTCTTATCCAAGCATTGACGCTCGGCAAAACTGTCTTAGACAGGACCGATAGCGCACTATTTTCTGGCAACAGTCCTCAACAAGAAGCTTGCTATAATGCCCTACTTAGGATGACTTATTGTCCACGTTGCCACGGCATCGAACTAACCGTCAGACCGTGTGCCGGATTCTGCACCAACGTTATGAGGTAAGCCATTAACTTCTTTTTCTTCTTCTTCTTCTTCTTGTTATTTTTGCTTTCTATTTTCTTTTCACAAAAGTTTCAGTTTAATCCAATTTGTTGTTAGTTAAGTCGACAAATAATGCACTAACGATGTTATTAATATTGGTTGTTTTATTTTTTTTTTTTTGCTTTCTTTGTAAGTATAATCTGTACTCTTCATTATTTTCATTCAATTAGTTGTTTCTCTCGTCCAAAAATAAAATTATAAATAAATATGTTTAACAGGGAAATTGGACAGTAAGTTCAAGTAAGTCGAGTGGTTTTTATTACCAACGTCAATTTGATCAAAATAAAATTGTAGTTCTTTATACTGTCCAATTTCCCTGTTAAACATATTTATTAATTATTTTAATATTTTATTAGTTAAATAATAATTATTTGTCGGTATTTTTTACGAATATAATATAAAAATGAACAATGAGGATACTCTCAATATTAAAATTCTTTAATTACGATTGAATTCGTAATTGGTATTTAATTCATTAATTCTTTGTTTTTGTTTTTGTTTTTTCATTACAAAGATCAATAATTTTTATCTATAATTTTATTATATTATTATTGCATAAACTATTTTTGATTATGAACGGTTTTTGTAATAAAAGGATTTTACAGATGCTCTTAGGAAAGTTGATTATTTATTTGATTGTATGTTATCGAAACCTCTGTGGCTATTAAGTTACTTTGCATAGAACATGCAGGTGAAACAGCCCGCATAAGTGCTTAAATCGCAATTTCGTTCGGGAATAATTTTACGTTAATCGAGGCGTACGTGGGCTCTCGAAAACGAATACCTTCGCTAAAATTCAAATTACTCGTCGTGTTATATTCGCTTGTACACATTAGGAGGTGGTGTATGCACCATACCTATCTACCCCACTACTAATAAACTTTTTTATTCGTATCGACAACACCGAAATGGTTGGTCATTGCTGTTGAACCATCGAACTATAAATCTCCAAACGCTAAACCAATTTCATTTGTTTCGCCTAATCACGACTAAAACGACCTTTCCATATTGATTTTGACCGTACGGATAATTTACCACCCACCACTCCCAAATTCTCTCTCTCTCTCTCTCTCCTCTCTTTCTCTTTGAGTTTGACCGAGCTTACGTTCGTCATTGTGTTTTACTATGGATTAGATTTCGATTGATTTACGGAACCGAAACGTGCATTCTGTTTGTATCGATCATCCTATCTTTAGATAAGAAAATAACGTACGATAATTGAAGAAGGTATTAGCAAAAATATATAGGCCAATAAATTTTTTTGCTAATTTTATTAATTAATATATTCTTTCGAGAGACTTCCAATTTAATTTCTTTCTTTTCTATATTGTAAAATAATTTAA